GTTGTTGTTGTTTGAGACGGAGTCTCACTTTGTCACCCTTGGTAGAGTGTCGTGGCATCATAGCTCACAACAATCTCAAACTCTTGGGCTCAAGCAATTCTCTTGCCTCAGCCTCCCATGTAGCTGGGACTACAGGCTCCTGCCACAACCCCTGGCTATTTATTTTTAGAGATGAGTTCTCACTCTTGCTCAGGCTGGTCTTGAACTGATGAACTCAGCAATCCACCCACCTTGGCCTCCCAGAGTGATAAGATTTCAGGCATGAGTCACTGCACCTGGCCTCAGATCAATCTTTCAATTGCCTTTCCTTTGGAGGTCTAGACTCCACTGTTACTGGACATCATTCCCTGGATGTCTTCTAGGTCTTCAGATAAAACTTATCAAGATGAAGATACTTCTCCAGCATCCTTACCCTTCTTGCTCAAGTCTTCTCAAGCAAATCGTTAACATATCCTCTTCCTTACATATTTCTAAAATCTCTCCTTTTCCTCCATTCCCCACTGCTACCATTACCACCTCTCCCATCATCTCTTAGCTGTCTTTTGAAGTTCATTTTCTCCTCCATTTAACCTATCCCCTACAGATACTACAGTGATCTTCCTCAACCTACTGGTGTTCTTGAGATCCTGTGATAGCTTCTTAAAGTAGTTAGGATAAAGGCATCTTTGACATTGCTTAGGACATATCACATGGTTCTTATCTACTTTCTAGCTCCCACTCCATTCCGAATTTTGTAGTCATTTTGGATTTTTCTTTAGTTTCTGCCACATAAGAAGATTTCTTCTATTTCAGGGCTTTTATATTTGCTATTCACTCTGCCTCAAATATGTTCCTTCATTTTTTAGCAAACACCACTCTTCACCTAATAGCTACTCCCACTCATTCCTTGGGTTTCAGCTTACACATCACTTCTTCTTCAGAGTTGTCTTCTCTTAGTCCACAGACCAGCATCTGGAGGACCTCCACTTTAGAGACACACCATTATTTCCATTAATTACTTGTGCAGTGAATGTATTTGTTGCTAGAAGGTTGACGAGGTGACAGGAACATTGTCTGCTCTTTCCTACTCTCTCCTCAGCACTGGATACTGTGCCGAATCATAAGTGCTCAATAGGGACAGTCGATCCTTATTACTCACGAGCTCCATCTTTGTGGGTTTGCCTGTTTTATAAAATTTATTTGTAACAGAAGGCTGTTCATCTTCCCTCCTTTCCGTAACCCCAAAATTAATATTCGTATGGTCATTTGTGAACATATGCAGAGTGGCAAAAAATATTTGAGCTGCCCAACACACACATCCTCAGCTGATGTCAAACCAGGTAACACTACCTTCTTGCCTCTGATCTTATATTGTAAACCAATGTCCATTTCATGTTCTATTCATTGACACATTTCCATATTTTTGTGCTTTTTGTTAAAAATAGACTCAAACATACTGGCTGACCCCAAAGCTGAAGTGCTGTTTAGTGTTTCTAAATATAAGAAGGCAGCAATGTGCCTTACAGAGAAAATAGGTGTTAGATAATCTTTGCTCAGGCATGAGTTATAGTGCTATGGGTCATGAGTTCAATGTTAATGAATAAACTGTATATTAAATGCAGTACCCTTTAACAGAAACACATATAAAACAAGGTTATGTATTGATCAATATTGGTAAATGTTCTGACCAGAGGCTTACAGGAACCTAACCTTGTATTTCTCCCATGAGCAATGGTCCAGTATTCACTAACTAAGAGTTCGCAGCAATTTTGTAGAGCATAATGACTGTGAATCATGAGAACCAACTGTATTTAATTTGTTAGCTGACATCAATATTAAAACTGTGGGAACTGTTAGGGCTGCATAATAAAGGGGTTGGTTGTATAGTTTATTTTGTCTTTGGAGAAGATGTATCAGATCAGAGGAGAAAAATAAGAAAGGAGGACACTTAGGTGACACTGTAAGCAAACATTATCTCTGACTCCTGAAGTGTTGCCACATGGCTTTTTGACCATTTTTTCTCAAATATATAAGCCATTACTTTCCTGGATGGGTTGGGATGATTGGTACAGCATGGAGGGAGGAGTGCCCAAGAGGACTGTGGAAGGTTCTTCATGAGAAACAGACTGAGATGGATAGTGAGGGCAGACATTGCAAGTGTGGCAGCATCAGGAAGAGCCAGCCAAGGAACAAAGGGTTTAGTCAGGTGGGGCTCAGATCTGGATAAGATGGAGTTGGAGATAGTGGCCTTTGCAGGCAGGAGACATGGAGACGAGCTCTGATCTTGGATCAACAACTTTCTGCCTTTATTGCTGTGAATTGGGGATGGGATGCATGGTAATTTTCTATTGTCTGGATTACCACACATTTGGATGTCTTTAGTAGGCCAGGCTGAAAACAGACCGCAAGTCAAGAGCCCAAGGGATCAGGCTATAGAGTCCAGAGTCCATAGCGGCCAGAGAAGTCAGGACTCTGGACAGCTCCACAGCCCACACAGCCTGTTACTGATTTCAACAGAAGTGCTGTCCTTAAGAAGGGCATCCTCAGTCTTTCTGGCTCCCGCCTCCACTCTCAGCTCCCCCAAACCCCATACATGAAATACTTAATATTGTAAATGGCCCTGACATTGTCTTCTCTTCTTGAAAAGTGAGGGGTCAGCATAGCCTACATGAAATTCTTCTCTACTCAGTGTTCTGGCCTGACCGAGTAGTCAGGGAACCCCTTGCTCTCTAGTCTCATGGTATGGTTGAACCCTGGAAGAATAGTTCAGGCTGCCTAGGAATACTATTTATTCCTTCTCAGGCTTCTATTTCCTTTGGTTCTGTAAAGGTAGAGGCTATGGCTAAACAAGAGTGAAGAACCTAGTATTTCTCAACTCTCTCTTGGTGGTGGGGGAGTCTCAACTAAGCTAACATTTATTAAGTCCCCATTATGCTCTAGGAACTGTTGTACAAAGTTATGAAGATTAAGATGAATAAGGCATGGTCCCCCCCCCTCAAGAGTTATAGTCTCTTAGCAGGGTGTATTGGTAGGCACACAGAGAGATGGAAGCCCCCAGATACAATGTTCTTTTTTCTGATTAAGGCAGGGACAGTGTTCAGAAATATACTTCCTAAACAGTAGTTGAGATTTAGGGAGAGACTGCAGGCACATGTGATAGGGTAGACAGACTTCATCCCTGCTCCTCCCACCCCCATCCCCCACTAATCTGATCTGTCAACCCCCTCTAGTTCTGAAGTCATACCCAAGACTAATGTCTCCATGGGGCTCAGTGCTTTTACACATGTCTTGACTGGAGGACTGCAGTTGAGTGTCGTGGGCAGAAGCTTATCCTGATCTTGCAGGGTGTCTGGGGCAGGGGATATTCCTAGTGATGATAACAGTAGACTTTCAATGACCACTGCTGGTTCTAAGACAGTAGGACCATAATGGATGATGAAAGGGAAGAAAATACCTTTAGGTGTCTTTGTTTTGTTTCCCTGTTTGGAAAGAGGGGAGGTGCTTTAAGTCTATTTGGGCATGTTTTGCAAGTATGTTTCTTTCCACTGACTCATCCTGGGAGAAGGGAGAGGCCCCTTCTAGTGTACCTTTTTCTGTATAAAACTCTCCCCCTGTACACCCTAATAATAGACATATTTGGGGCCATGAAAACAGATATAGAAGAGGCTGCCCCTTCCTATCCTCATCTTTTTTGACCCTCTGGCACAGTGGCTGGGAGGGTGCAGAATGGCAGCTGTCCAGATGGGCTGGCACACAGCATGGTGACTCCGAACAGGCACCTGAAGACCAGGTCTCTCTACTGCCTGGTTCTGGGTAAAACATTCAGACCTTGATGGGCCTCAGTATTCCTTGACTGTATGTGTATTAATAGAGAAAGGGGCAATGAAGTGCTTTTGCTGTGGTAATTCATGAAGTTTTTTGAGGATCAAATGTTTGTATCTTTAATACCTGAAAGAGTCCCAGGCATGCCGTGACCACTTTCAGATGTGTGGTATGTGAATGAATGATTGGATACACTGAAATCTGAAAACTGTGGAGCGCTGTGCAAGTATTCATTATTTTATTGCTTTGAAGTCTGGCTGTTTTATATGTGTCTCATCTGAGCTTTTTCTATGTTATAGAAAAAATTCTAACTGTTCGACCCATGTTAGCGCCCTTTACAAGAAAGGTGGCAAGCTGCTGCGTTGGGTTTCATCAGTGGCCACAACAGATGGGTTGGCCTCAGTGGGGATTTGGAAGAAGTGAGGAGAAACATGACATTCAGGACAGCTCAGCCTGACTGTTGGACAGACTCAGAGAAGGCTGAAGAAGGCTTTGAGCAGACAGCTTTGCAGAGGTGAATTTCGATGGAAGGCAAGGAGGTGAGTTAAGGAAGCAGTACTTATGGATTTTATGGGAGGTGGATTTTCATAGGTAACGACACTATTCTAATTACAAATAGAACTTACAGGCCCAAAGCAAAATTCTTTGGTCTTCTGTTTGAAGACAGAAGAATGATAACCGAAGAAATGCTGAGAATATGAACTTTATCACCGATGAAGACTTTACAGATGCAACAAAGTATTCCTTAGGTATTTTCAAGTTAAAAGTAAATTTCTCACTTGGTTTACATCCTATTTCATAGTTTATAAGTAAATTCAACTACTTTTATGCTGACTGTTATAAAGAAACAAACATAATCCTTTACAGAAAACCCATGAGAAGTGAACTTGGTGCCATAGCCCTTTATTTCTTAATTTTTTTATGCCTGAAAAAATGTAGAATTAATACTCTGACATCCCAAACAATGAATAACCTCTGCTCACTGAAGGAGAAGGCAAGGGGAACTAAGCTTCTTCAAACTTTGCCCAGAAACGCTGGCTTTCTCATACTGATGGAAACATCCCGTGGGGCAATCAACTTCGTTAGCTGCCTGCCTGGTGGGGGTGGGGGACGGAATCAACACGCTGCTGGGGGAGGGAAGGGCTCGGGGGAGAGCTGAGGGCTGCCCTCTCACCACCCTGGACTGCAGTGGGAGCTACCTTTGCTGTCGTGCCAGACTCTCAACTTGCAGAGGTGGCCCAGGCTCAGCATGTCGGAGAAGCTGAACGTGTCTGTGTTGTTCCGCTCAAACTTGTTCCAGTTGGCTGACTGCTTCAGGGCCAGTGTCCCGCTGTCCCCATTCTCCCCAAAGATGATGATGAACACATTGGCATCAGTGCCTGCTCCTGGGGGGTGCATAAGATGAGGCTTGGGTGCTGTCCTTTCTGACACAGCCTTGATCCTGGACTCCTTGGAGGAGCCAGGAGTCTAAGTGGACAGAGTTCAGTGTTGACTAGGCCAGGGGTGAAATTGGAAAGGGACTGTCGGTGTCCTGGGACTCCTGGGCCTCCAATTCTACCCTTCCCCTTACCTTTGTGCCTTGTAGGAGCTGTTAGGCTAACTGGGGTAGAGTCATAGTTAGCAAGTTTGGATGATTTAGTGTACAAGTTTACCTATTTGTAGGTAAATACTCCTCCACTTAAAATGCATGCCATGTAGTCTGGCTTCACAGGTTAGAGACACAGTCTACCTTCTGAAAAATGCAGGTTCAGAAGGAAGCAGGGGAATTCTGTGCTCCCCTAACCCACCTCTGATTAGCATCCTACATTAGGACTTCATATCATTTGCTTAAGCCGAATAGGGGTATTGGCCCAAGTTAAAAAGCAAATATTTCTTGAAAAGGTAACCCTGTGAAGCTTTTCGGACACATACCTGCTGTTATCAATGAACTTACCAATTATTTTCTGAGAGCATATCGTGGGAGGATGGAGAGGTTTGAAAGCATGTGGTCACTGGGAACTTTAGGCTATAAAGGTGATAGTTCCACTATCGGGAGAAGAGGAAGAAAGGGTGTGCCAAAACCAAACTTTACCAGATTTACTGACATATGGCTGAGAGTCTACCACGAGAGCGTCATTTCTTTGGTTAAATGCTTCTCTGTCAAAAAACGTCAGCTGCCATGGCAGACAAGTTAGTTAATCCTTCACTAGTCATTTACAACCAGTGTGAATGAGTTTGATAGAATCTTTGCAATGGCCCGTGGAGAGCAGGCTTGATATAGGAGAGGGCAGGTAGGAGGAATTGTCCCCATGGCTAGGTGAAAGCATATTCCCTGTTACCTCCCAGCTTTTGACATATTAGCACTTTTGCTTGGAAGATCTTCCTCTGGATTCCTGTCTGCTTATGTGGCTTCTACTTGTCTTTCTGAACTTGATTTTGGCATAACCT